ATAGAAAACATTTTATTATTGTGAGATGAAATGCACTAAGAGCTAAAATTGTGATAAACACAATTATCATCTAAAACATCAATAAGCCAATATCTGTTGAGCATCCACTACAAGCCGAGTGCTCTTCTAGGTACTTGGCATGGCCTCCTGGTGAAGGAGAGCCTTCAAAGTCAGCTGGAGCATCACATTTAGGGGGGACCTTTCCTGCACTTCAGTCTCTGGCTAATCTAATCCTCTGGCATGAGTTCTCATAAGACATGGCCTGCTCATCTCAGCACCTGTGACTGTCACAGGTCTACTCTGCATGTGCTTATGTAAGTGTCACTCAACCACAAAACCCTGAGCACAGAAACTGTGCCATTGCCAATGTTTAGTGCAAGGCCCAGCACCTGCCAAGAGCTCAATCAATATTTGTTGAATGTCAAATGGGGATACAGTCCTGTCCCTTGTCAATTGTTGTAAATTCTACAACAAAGCTGTATTTAAAAAGTACTATAGAAACTCTAATGGTGAAGAGCTGACTCCACCTGAGACTCGAGGACATCTTCCTGGTGCAGGGCCATGAAGGATGACTAACAGTTCCTCAGGCTAGGGGGAGTGGGGCACCAGGCAAGGAAGAGTGCACACCAAGGTAAGGAGGGGAAGTGTGTGGGGTGCTGCTTGGCAGGAGCATCAGGGGGCTTGATGGCAGGAGCATCAGGGGGCAGTGTCTCCCATGGGCACTGTGTTCGATGCTTTGCACCTGGTTGATACTTAAAGAATATTTTCCACAGAACATTGAATCAAAGGGCCAGTGCTCATCCCCAAGGAGAATACAAGGTATCTGGCTGTGAATAATAGGCACAAGGGTTGGTATTATTTAAGATATAGGTTCTGACTGTGGTGATAGAAACTAAATGGAAGAATGGTTTAAATTAAACATTTGTCTTTCTCTCACAAGCAGTGTGAACGTTAAGAGGGGAGGGTGGGGATGGTGGCCGCATGGACTAGGGACTGGGCTTTTCTCTCTTCTCGCTCTGCCATCTCAACACAGCTTTCATCCCTGGGACCTGGATGGCTCCCCTAGCTCACACCGTGCCATCCCCCTAAGCCAGTGGATGGGGAAGAACTTGTCTCCCACTGGTAGCTACCTCCAAGAGAAGCTGGGACATAATCTTGAGCTGGTAACCATGCATCCTGCCAAGATTTTCATTACTACAGAGGGAGCAAAAGCGAATATTAGGATGACACTTTGACACCTTGGCTTCAGTGGCTTCTGTGCATGGTCAGGAGCTTGCAGAGATTGGGGGTATTGAGATTGAAGTCCACAAACATAAAGCTTGGGAGAACTGAGCTCCCGAGAGAACTCTGGTTCAATCTCAACATTCCCTGTATGTACAGACAAACTTGGTTCAGTTAGAAGGAGATTTTTTTGAAGGACACCTGCCAATGCATGAAAATACTCTGACATGCACATTCTATTAGGAGAAGTGACAGGAGTTATTTGCTACTATTAAAATACAAAGCCTACAATGCACAATTCCTTTATAAACTTGAATTCCTTCATTGTATTAAAAACAAGCTTTATAGTGTGGGAGAGTGATGTGTATGTTTTAATTATTTCTGCAAGATTTAGGAGTCAGTGACATAGAGATCGCAGTAGGCTTTGTCTGTTACAGAGTATGAGAGCTTGCTTGCTATGCTTAGTAAGGCCTCCATGATTGATGTCACAGTGGGGTTAGAGGAAGTCGGGCATTACAGAGAAACTAAAGAAATGCAGAGTCTGGGTAGCAGGTGAATCCCCTGAAGTGCTTCCTCAGGATACAGGGAGGGGGCAGCCAGTGGTATTCTTAAGGTGACTCTAAGACCAGGAGTTGGACAATGATAATTACATGCAGTTCCATATCTTTATCAATTATTTTTCAGCAAATATCCCCTCTCCTCTCCCTCCCTTTGGAACAGATTGGACGTTCTTGTTTCATAGACTCTTGCATGGACAACAGAAGGTGAGCATATTTAACAAAAGCACACAATACAGGCGCTGTTTAATTGTGTTTGCATGCAGGCTGGCTCCTGGGCACCAGTGATTTGCCTTGAGAAACTCGTGCCCAGAAAGGCTACTGCATCCTCAACCTGGACCCCATGATGAAGACAGGTGGAGCAGACCCAGAGGCAGCCTGCTGCCAACACTGCAGCCTGAAGCAATTCTGCCACTGAAGATCATCCTGAACGCACAGGAATAAATGTGCTTACAAGCCTCCAAGTTTTGTAGTTTTTATGCTGCACGACTAGTTCACCAAGACACCAAGCTTCTTAATTCCGCTTTGATTTGTTTCCTATGTGAATCGCAAGTTAAATGCATTTTTAATGCAAACACAGTTCAAGGAAGATGGTAGGGAGAGGCGTGTGAGGTAGGGCTCAGCTCCACACAGTCATTCACAGATTCAGGCCTTTTATCTCGTGTCTGCTGTGCCCCATGGTCTTAGACTCTTCCTCCAGAACGTATGCATGTGTCAGCAGGTGGGTGAAGGTGAAGAGAAAGGGCCACTCAGAGATTCTGTTATTCTATGGACATTCCCTGCACCAAATGGTCTAGCTTCATTTCCAGGTGTAACAGAAAAAAATGAATAATTAGCCAGTCTCTTGCCTGGGGAAATAGGATGGAGAAACATGTTCCTAATCATGGCAAAACAGGGACAGAGGAACACGAGGAGAAAGAACATGAAAGAGTAGCTATCAGTGAAGGCAGGGTACAATGACTTTAGCAGGAAGCAGTACAGGAGGCAAGAGCAGAAATGGGATCAGATCACAGAGGACGTGGTGATTTATGGCTTCAGCTGAGCAGACCAATGTCTTCCAGGTGTTAGGGAGCCCTGGAGGCATCATAGCCGCCCGTAGGCTGATTGGATCTGCAATCAGGAAAGTTCTCATGGAGAAGGTGGGCAGAGGTGGAGGAAGACCCTGCGATGATGCTCCAGGAAGCTCAGAGCCTGACAGGGAACGCAGGGAGTGGACTGGGAAGAAGCAAATCCCCAGAAAAGATGAAAGACCCAAACGTGCACAGTGACCAAGCCAAAAGACAAGTCTTTGAAAAGGTCCATGAAGCAAGAAGGAAGGAACAGGGAGGAAAGGTGAGTGTCATAGGTGGTTCAAAAAGGACAGGATCAATCATTAAGCCCAAATAAAGCAGGAGCTCCCCAGGACCTGCCACCCAGGCCCTTCCGTGAGACCCCACTTTGCTGTGAAGTGACTCTCCACCTTTTCTATTTCCATTGCCAAGTATGGCTCTACGGGAGACCCTTAGAACAGGAAAGCATTGGAGGTCATCCAGACCAGTTTTTCTAAGCCTTCCTTGCACATCAGAGTCACCTGGAGGCACAGCTGTGGAAAGCTGGGGACCAGCCCTGACTTTCTGATTCAGTAGGTTTGAGCCAGCATTTGGGAATTTGCATTTCTAACAAGCTCCGAGGGGATGCTGACCCTGCCCAGCCACAGAGGATGCTTGAGCACAGGAGAGTGCAGCCACAGGCTCCTTCAACAGTGAGAAAGCAGAGACAGGAGAGGGAGAGAGGCCGTGGCCAGAGAGTACTCAGCAGGAGCAGCCCCTTTTCCCTCCCAGTGCAGCAATGCCTGCTGGGATGCCCCAGCATGCAAGGAAGACGGCTCAGTTGGTCTAAAGTCACTGCGTATGTCTCCAGCTGCTGTTGAGTACCAGGATTCAGTGTCCCCCACCTCCCTGCACAGGATGACTGAAAGCTCCCTTGGCCATTCACTGGCCAAGACCAGGGAGTACAGAGGGAGAGATAATGGGGATCAGCACCTTTCCACTACCATTCAGGAGCAGAGTTGGCTCGGAGCAGGAAAATCTGTACATGAGCCGTCCTAAGTCAGCTCTGTCCTCCACCACTCGGCTCCAGCCACTTCCCCGGGCACTGTTCCCCTCCTTACCTCACTACCTTGCCACCCAAGATGGCCTGTATGCTGCTTCCCTGGGCTCCTGCCATAGGACCTCCTATCAGAGCAGGGTTTTCTCCAGCAGTAAGTGCCAGATGAACACCTACCAACGGCCTGAGGGCAACGCATTGTGTCTTCTGCACCCAGATCAAGCCTGGGGTTCCACTGTGTTCCAGCCAATATCCAGCTGAGCCCATAGAATGTATAGTGCAGAGCACAGCAGGGGGCATTGAACACAAGGAATTCATTGCAGAGGTGTCAGAAAAGCAGAGGCCGAATGTGAGGCAACTCAGAGCTCAGTGACTACAGAGAGCTGCCGCCCCCAGGGCTGCCCTTCCCAAGCTAGGGGCTGGCACTACCCCAGGAGCCAGAAATTCTGTGGAGGGTCTGCTCATGGGTCTGGCCAAATGTCTGCACACACAGGCTGCCCGGAGGAGGGGCGATAGACCTATTTCAGGGAACTGAAGCCATGGAGAACAGAGTAACTAGAACAACCAGGGGAGCTAGACCCGGCTTGAGCTACCAGGACAAGAGCCCCAATGGCAAAGGAGCCATACGACTGCATCAGACTCCACCTGATGCAGAACAAGAAGCGAACAAGTACCTTGCCTTCCCCTGCTGCTAGGCTGGGTGTCCTCCAAGCAGAGCAACAGCAGGGAGCTGTGTGCGAGTCTGTTACAAGAGGAATTAGTATGTCCCGGGAAGCAGGAGTGGCAAAGACAGGGATTCAAACAAGGGTGGGGTTCAGGGAACCTCTAATATCAACCAGGTCCTGCAGGGAGCCTCAGAGTAGCAATTGCATTACAGTGTGTCCTGGCTTGAGGTCACAGAGATGGGTCTGTACACCCCAGACAAGTCAGTGATTAGGAAAGGTTCCCAGGTGGCTGTGTCACCAAGGGGCACCTCCAGGCAAGATGACACCAGCACAGTCCCACAGAGAAGACCATAGGTGTGAACCTGCAGCAGCAGACACTCAGTACCCCAAACTAAAGGGGACACAGGGACCTAAGCGGCCCCCACCAGTGGCTGTCCGTACTTCCCACTCTCGGGTCTCCTGATAGGCTTCCAGTTGGCTGGACATGACTCTTGGGGTTAAACACTGAGGGAAGCGGAGGGAGGGAGCAGGCAACTCTCAGAGCAAAGGAGCAAATGACAGGTAGTAACTGCTCAATAATATCTGCTAAGCTGAATTATGCTTCCCCACATGTTACAGACTTTTCTGGCGTTTTGCAAAAATTGGATCTGTCAACAGGGGTTGAAGATTTACCTTCACTAAGGAAATAGTTTTCAGTAGAAAATTATCATTTGCCTAAGAGTGCATGACAGATACTGATTTTGTGTCAAACATACTACAATTTACTCAGCAACCTAAAGGGAGTTGGAGGGGAAGTCTAGACTCAAACTTGAGTCAGATGGAGTCCAGCTACCCCCAACCACCTTCAGAAGTATTAAGCCAAAAAAAAAAATCACATCTTTTTTCTGTTTCAAGTACAGAGTATGAATTTTAAACAAAAGTCCAGAAGTCAGCTGAGGTGAAAGTATGGTGCAGATTTGAGTTAAAAGCCTGGGAATCCAGGGCAGGGCTCTGCACATTGATGTTTGCTTCACAGGATCCTCCTGGAACGCACAGTGTGCTCCTCCTCTAGTGGCTCGGGGGACTTCCCCGTGTGGCCTGCTGCTTAGCTGTTCTTGAGGGATTGTCTGGAATACCCACCCACTTCTCATAGCCCAGTGCAAATGTTAGTTGATAGAAGCTATCGGTTGTCCAAGAAGACCTGGAATCCAGAAAAATGACACATGCCAGACTCTCTGAAGAGACCACAAAGAGAACTGTGTCAGAGAACGTCAGTGCTGGGTCCCTGCACCTCTCAACTCACCTCTTGCCCTGTCATTTCTCCAAGGTGAGTATGAGTGTCCCTCTGAAGTGGAGAACAAGACTGAGGAAGATCGGGTCACTTAACCCCAGCCACACATCTGCAGGTGACAAAAAGAGGACTGGAACGTGGATCCTACAAACCACAGCAAGTGAAAGCCTAATAGTGGCACTAATAATTAACACCTGGGGCTTGGCCGCGGAGCAGTCTGCTGCCCCCACCTGGATGCGGACCCTCCCCTCCTCCCCTCCCCTCCTCCCCTCCCCTCCTCCCCTCACCTCCTCCCCTCACCTCCTCCCCTCACTTGACCGCTCCCTTTCTGGGATATTTCCTGTTAGTCCCTAAGCCACACCCTCCTCTGTGCCACCAAAGCCCACTGGGCTTCCCTCATAGTGACACAGCACTGTGTCCCACAGACTTAATCTGCAGGTGTCCTGTGGGAACGCACCTTCCTTAGCGTGTCCGCACTGGCTTTCACAGCACAGTTCCCATCACGTAGAAAGTGCTCAGTTGGTTCTTGTGGATCGCTGGCGACAAACAGCATCTAGTCATTGTCTCATTTGTCACTCCCTAAAAGGCCACGTGAGAAAAACGCATGCAGCACCTGGAAGTTTCCTAATGAATGCTGATTTCTTCCCATCTCCTTCTCCCATTCGTCCATCCTGACTCCATAAGGAGAGTACCTGTGTGCACACACTGCTCCCCCACAGCAAATAAACTCCACATTCGAGTGCTACATTGCAATTCTTTGATTTACACATGCACTGTGAAGTGCTGACCACAACTGAGCTAATTAACATACCCCTCACCTCACATTTTTGGGAAGGAAGGGTGAGAACACCAAATCTACTTACAGGAAATTTCAAGTATACAATGCAGTATTTTTAAGTATCCATGCTGTACGTTTATCTCAAACATCTCATAACTGAAAGTTTACACCACTTAACAAAAGTCTCGATTTCTGTCCACCCTCACCTAGCCCCTAGCACCTCCCTTTCTACTCTATTCGTGCGTTTAGCTTTTTTTTTTAAGATTCCAATGTGAGAGAAACCCTGGGCCACCTGGCTTTCTGCTTCGGACTTATGTCACTTAGCACAATGACTTCTAGGATCATCTTAGGTCCAGTCTGTGGCAAGGGCAGGACTTCCTTCTCTTTAAAGCTGAATGCTATTCTACATTTTCTTATCCATTCAGCCACCAGTGGGCACTTGGGCTAAGTCCCTGTCTTGGCTATTACACACTTGACTTGATTAATTTCATCCTTTGCACCTCTTCGGAGCCTTTGATTACGAGGTGTTTGAAGGAATTTAATCAACGGATCTCATTACAACAGCACACATTAAACATCATGAGCGAAAGAGCTGGCGGTTTCTGAATGCATACCTGAACTTCCACCAGCATCGATGGGGGTCTTTCTTGGGTCTGCCGGCCTCCTGTCCTCCCTGAGGGTGTCCAGCTTCTGCTCAGGACTCTGAAGATTCCTCTTGCCCAGACAGCACCTGCACACTGACCCTCAAGCTAGACAGCATGATGGCCAAGTGACCTGCCTAAAGGGCTTGATCCTTCCTGGCTTCTGTTCTCTATGAAATGGAAATAGCGAGGACGCAATTTTAACAGGGTTGTTAGATCATGGCCTCTGAAGTGCTTAGCCAAACATCAGTGCTTAGCCAAACATCAGTGCTTAGCCAAGTGTCAGTGCTTAGCCAAGCTCCAGCACCTGCAGCAGCGCCACACTGTTTTGTTCTATGCATGTTCACACATGTTTACATGCAGGTTTTGAGGATAGGGAGCCCCTTCTTCATTAGATACTTTTCTGTGGAAGTTGAGGGAAGGGATTTTCTGCTGAGTACTTCTGGAAGAACAATTCTATTCCTGTTGCCCATTTCCAAAGCACATTGAGACATATTCTTATGAGCCTGCAGGAATCCTGGCCCACGCTGCTGCTCAACTAGTGGGAAGGGAGCCACCAGACTTTACCACGAGACTCGTGTTTTCTCTACTGGTTAAAAATCTACGATGGAGAAAGGATATGGTGATGTGTTAGTTCTTCTTCAAACCACTGACCCTTTTCTCTCTATTTCACAAAGTTAAAAAGTGAGGCTCCTGGATGGAGGTCGAGTCGTCACTTTAAGAAAAGTGACAGAGCTACAACTTGAACTCCATGCTCCCCAGCTCGGAGTCTCCTTTCCTCCCTGCTGTTACTAGCATCCAGAAGGCCTGAGCGACTCCAGGTGTGTGGAGATGACCCACCTGTCAGTAAGCTCCACTTCACACTTCAGGTGCAGAGAGAAAGCTGGCTGGGCTCCTCGTGGGCATGGGTGAGGGCTGGCGTGATCCCCTGCACTGAAGAAAGAAAGAAAAAAAAAGGGAAAGGAAACTTTGATTCATTTATTGAAACATCATGTCCTTGACAGACCCAGTTTTATCACCTCCTAAGCAAGCCTCCTTTTTGTAACCCAGGAAGTTGAAACTCACTGCCCTTCAGCTTCTTCCCCAACATGTGAAGAGTTTGGAAGTCATTGCTGCTGTCTTCGTAGCCAAATAAAATCCCCCCCCCAAGTCCCTGAAACCAGCAAGTCTTCTTAGATCTGTCAGACAATCAAGGCCACAGGGCAAACTGCTGTCCCCACACTGAAGAAATGCAGGTGGATGCAGGGACCCCCAGCTCACTGTGTGCAGAAGTCCACAGGTAGGACCAGCATCCGAAGGGATGACTTGGATGATATCTGATGGACTGGTGGACGCTCAGCATGGACTACTGTGAGAGCTGAATACTCTGGGATGGGGGCAGGCTGTGAGGGGCCGTAGATCATGAGCTTTATTTTTAGGCACTCAGCTTCTCAGGGTGGATTTTGGGGAAAAAATCCTTTCATGCTTCCAATAAGAGAAGGAGAAAAGCAGACATTTAGAAATATGCCCAGAGCTCTCTGTTCTCCTCATTAAAACCTGTCCTCAAGGGAATCTCCTTTACAGAGCTGACTGCCCTGGGAAAAGGGTAATAGGCTACTCCTGCTAGCCTTCCCCGCTCACCTGGGCAGGGACTAGAGGGAAGCTGAGAAGCACTTGCAGAGGTCACAGTGCAAGGACACAGGACCCAATCATAGGACTACAGAGCCTATTGAAGGGCACCTTGGTGGCCCTTACACACCAGCAGGGACCTGTGTGGCTGCAGATATTATAGCTAAAAGACCTGCGAGCCTCACACCTAGTTTTAGGAGAATTCTGTAAGGAAATCCAATGACAATAGTGGGGACTAAACCAGTGGATACAGTGGAGGAAACTTTAGCCTTGGCACCCGAGCTGTGGTCAAGAAGGTAGCCTGACCCCCGGCCTCACAATTCCACAACCTTCCACCACAGGTTCCCCACCCCAGATCCTTCCACCTGGTGCATCTCACACCACTTTCCACAGCAAAATCACAAGGCACACTGGAAGGCACAAACTCAGTCTGAAGAGAGATCCGGTGCCAGAATCAGACTGAGACGTAGCAGGGATTTCAGAATCATCAACTGGGGAATTTGAGCCTATTCATAATTGTCCCAAATGGGAAGCAACCAATGCCCTTCAATAGATGAAAAGTTAGACAAACAGACGGATAGCCAGACAGCAGACTACTATTCAGTGATTAAGAGAAAATGAACTTATTAAGCCACAAAAAGACACGAGGAACCTTGAAGGCATGGCACTAAGTGAAAGGAGCCGATCTGATGAGCCCACAGACCACGTGGTTCAGCTGCACCATGTTCCAGGAAAGTCAAGATGGCAGAGTCAGGAGGGAGATCCTCAGTTGCCAGGCATGAGGGGAGGAGGGTGTGAGGGGAAATGGGATGGACCACAGGGGATGTTTAGGGCATGTATTATATTGTAATGGGGAATACATGACATTATTAATAAGTCATTAATATATAATGTCAAGACCCATAAAATGGCACAACAGAAAGAGTGAGCTCTTAGAAAATTTTTTCTTTGTTAATAAGGTTATGATCAATCCTGGCTCATCAGTTGTAACAAATGTGCCTGCCACCCTAATGCACAATGTTACAGGACAGGGGACACTGTCAGTAGAAGAGGAGGTGGATCATGAGGAAAACTTCCATACTTTCTGCTCCATGTTTCAGTGAACCTAAAATTGCCCTGAAAATAAACATACAGAGAGAAACTGATACACAGAGAAAAAGACATACAGGTAGAGACAGAGAAGGAGGCAGAGAGAAGAGAAGCCAGGTACCAGGGCCAGCAGAGTTGTTAATTTAATTTTATGCATCAACTTCAGTGGACTAGGAGGTCACTAGTTGATAATACATTATTTGTGGGTGAGTCTGTGAGAGTGTTTCTGGAAGATATTTGCATTTGAGTCAGGGAGTAAAGATTGCCTCACCAATGTTGTGGCAATGTCCAACATTTTGGGGGTCCCAGGAAAGAAATGGTGAAGAAAAGGCTGATTTGCTTCTTCTTTTCCTGAGCTGGGTTATCATCTTCTCTTGCTCTTGGCCCTGGGGCTCCTGGGGCTCTGGACTCCATGCTCTGGGACTTAAACTTTGGCCCTGGACTGAAGGACACCACTGGTTCTCTTGGTTCAACAGTTTGCAGATGGCATATAAAGGGTTTTGGCCTTTGATAATCACATGGACCAATACCCACACTAAATCTCATTTATCTGTATATTTCCGAATCTTGTTGATGATATTTCTCTGGAGAACTCTAATATAGCTGTTCAGTATGGGAGGTAAAAGAGACTCCATGAAATCAAAAGAAAAAATCATTATGACTTACATTAACCTCATTGATTTTGTCTGTTTTTCTAAATTATTTATTTATTCTAATTTATTATACATGATGGCAGAATGCAATTCATTTCATATTACACAAACAGAGAACAATTTTTCAAGTCACAAAGTATTTTCACACCATTTGTGTCTTCATACATGTACTTGGGGTAATGATGTCTACCCCATTCCACCATCTTTCCTACCCCTTTGCCCCCTCCCTTCTCCTCCCTCCCCTTTGCCCTATCTAAAGTTCCTCCATTCCTCCCATGCCCCCTGTCACCCCTCATCTCCATTATGAGTCATCATCCTCATATCAAAGAAAGTATTTGGCCTTTGATTTTTTGGGGGATTGGCTTACTTTACTTAGCATTATATTCTCCAACTCCATCTATTTACCTGAAAATATCATGTTTTATTCTCTTTTAATGCTGAGTAATTTTCCATTGTGTATATATACAAAAGTTTCCCTATCCATTCATCTACTGAAGGGCATCTATGTTGGTTCTACAATTTAGCTATTGTGAATTGAGCTGCTATAAACATTGATATGGCTGTGTCCCTGTAGTAAGCTGTTTTTAAGTCATTTGAGTATAGATCAAGGAGTGGGATAGACAGGTAAAATGGTGGCTCCATTCCCAGTTTTCCAAGAAATCTCCATACTTTTTTTCATATTAGCCGCACCATTTTATAGCCTCCCCAGCAATGTATGAATGTGCCTTTCCCCACGTCCTCGCCAACACTTATTGCTGTTTGTATTCTTAATAGTTGCCATTCTGACTGGAGTAAGTTGAAATATTAGAGTAGTTTTGATTTGCATTTCTCTAATTGCTAGAGATATTGAACATTTTTTTGTATGTTTGTTAATTGATTGTATATCCTCTTCTGAGAAGTTTCTGTTCAGTTCCTTGGCCCATTTATTGATTGGGTTATTTGTTTTCTTAGTGTTAAGGTTTTTGAGTGCTTTATATATCCTAGAGATTAGTGCTCTATTTGATGTGTGTGTGGTAAAAATTTGCTCCCTTTCTGTAGGCTCTCTATTCACCTCACAGATTGTTTCTTTTGCTGAGAAGAAGATTTTAGTTTGAATTCATCCCATTTATTGATTCTTGGTTTTAATTCTTGTGCTATAGGAATCTTATTAAGGAAGTTGGGGCCTAATGCCACATGATGGAGATTTGGGCCTATTTTTTCTTTCATTAAGAGCAAAGTCTCTGGTTTAATTCCTAGCTCCTTGATTCGCTTTGAGTTGAATTTGTGCATGGTGAGAGATAGAGGTTTAATTACATTTGTTACATGTGGATTTCCAGTTTTCCCAGCACCATTTGTTGAAGAGGCTATCTTTTCTCCAGTGTACATTTTTGACACCTTTGTCTAATATACTTGTAGTTATGTGGGTTAGTCTCTGTGTCCTCTATTCTGTACCATTGGTCTACAAGTCTACTTTGGTACCAATACCATGCTGCTTTTGTTATTATTGCTCTGTAGTATAGTTTAAGGTCTGGAATAGTGATGCCACCTGCTTCACTCTTCTTGCTAAGTATTGCTTTGGCTATTCTGGGTCTCTTATTTTTCCAGATTAATTTCATGATTTCTTTTTCTAATTTTATGAGGAATATGAGGGATGCTCTCTTTCGCCACTTCTATTTAACAGAGTTCTTAAAACTTTAGCCAGAGCAATCATACAGAGGAAAGAAAACGGGATAGGGATAGGAAAAGAAAAACTCAAATTATCACTATTTGCAGACAATATGATTCTATATCTATAAGACCCAAAGCCTCCCACCAGAAATTTCCT